AAAATGTTTGACGTCAACTTTTCGTTCGGAACGAAAAGTCTAAAGATATGAAATTGAAATAATGATATAATGCAGCCATCCATCAAACATGCCAGTCTATGCATACATCCGTCTATTCATTTGTTTATATATATATAATTCCTTCAAAAATGTATACATATAAATATCTCTAGACCATCACTCTTATAACTTCACTTGATCTCTCCTATGAGTTCATACAGTAAAGATCTGGTTTTCGAATACCAGCATAACTCACTTTTCATAAGGATCAAGGTCTCTCAGGCCTATATAGGTAATGGAGTCCGTATCCAGGCTAGAAATAAATGCAAAAGGTTAGTAACTGTTGTCAGAGCAATTTGGCTTAGACAAGGAATAATGAGCAAGGTTCCTGATGTGAAGACTATTTTGTCTTCTTATTGAAACCCAAGTGAGTCTAAAGTGATAAAAAATCAGGAACTGCTCATTAAAATAAAGTTCCAATTATGGGATAAGCATGAAAATTAAGTCACAGTTAAATGTCTAACCAATTCACGACAGCTTAATAATTCATGGATTCCGGTTTGACTGTTGCATCAGATAATTTGTTCCGAATCAAGTGACATACGAGTGGATTCTGAGGTTGAACTACAAATTGAAACGTTTTGACGCTAAATTACATGCATTTACAATAATTCCAGTGGGAATAAAAATTCGAGTTGAGCTCAAGTCGTAGTCTGGTAGTCTGGTGTAGGGCCTAGGCCAAAACAATAGCGGTAAAGTATAGAGCTCAGTTACACATTTAGTTCTTGCCCATCTCAGCTGGGGATAACGCGTTAGATAGCCCCGAGGGAATACGCCCCAAACACCGAGACCACTCTTGTTCTGGCCTTTGAATGCAAAAAGCTTAAAATAAGTACTCGGAATACTTCAATATCAAGTGGGCCTTGAAACTATACGTACATTTTTACTAAGAGGGCCACTTAACCTGGATTGCATAGGGAAATGAAAAACTAATACCGGAATGTTTCCCACAGTAGAACGAATAGACCTCACGTTTCTATTAGATTCCACTTAGCCCAAGAGTTTTGAAGCCTTTTTAATATGAATGTGAGTAACATTGTCAAATGTGATGGGAAAATACAAGTTTGTCTCATCGACGATCCCACAATAAATTGTGATATTGGAAAGACCTTGCCTTCTTTAGAATGCCCATCTGCCCTGTGACCCAGGGGCACCAGTGTTGGCGTCGTGTCGAGATAACGTGTCGAGATTATCGCTGAACCATGCGGATCCCATACCGATTGGGGCGAGGTCGAAACTGGAGTCCAGCCTTTATGGAATAAGAATAGCTTTTAGAAAGCAAGGCTATGTAAACTTCATTGAAAACATGAGGCCTATTCATATGAATGTGGAAAAATTCTGCTATCAGTCCTCTATTAGCATATGCAACCTGGGGAAACTGGAGCTCTTACACCTCAATTCAATCCGGACAATTGTGTTTTGGTCAAGTGTGTTAATTTAACTAAAGGTTAAACAATGCAGTATTGAAATAACATATAATATGTTATGAATATTATAATAATATTAAATATATATTATAATATGCAAATATTAGTAATGCTACATTGAAATAACGTATATTATACATAAATATCTATAATATACTAATAATATTCCTGATAAGTATAACAATTTATATGTATACATTCACTAAAACAATGGTTATTAATGGTAGTTGATCCCACTTTTGCAACAATACTTTGATATGCTTGTTGCCTCATTGGCCCGCCAGCTTGGTCTTCTTTTCTCGACGTTTGGATGGCTTTTGCTCGTTACATAGATCGTTGCATGAGCCCTCAAACGGGGTGACTAGATACAGCATTAGGCTTGTTCACTCACCAACTCTTCAGGTCCTGAAACTCCTCGATCCACGGCATCTCCTCCTCGAGTTGACGCAACAAGAAGGCCACTGGCATGCCGTGAGTGTGGCCAGTGCTCGAGCTGATCGGTGTGTTGATATCGGCGTGAGCGTCGACCCACACAACGCAGGTGTTCGGCTGGTAGCGACAATGGCCGAAAATGCTGCCAAGCCCGAGGCTGTGGTCACCGCCGAACACAATGGCCAGACTATTGGTTGCCTCGACTGTTGCCTCGGCGACCTGTAGTTGGGCGGATTGTCGTTGGCCGATCGTCTTGTAGTCGATGAGAGGTGTTGTCTTCAGGCCAGCCAACAGTTGAAATACCCTATCGGCAAGACTGAGGCTGGTGACAGAGAAGTGACGTGGTGCTCGGACTCCCAGGACCGGCTCATCAGACGCCAGGCTCCCCGGCAACACGGGCACGAACTGGCCGGCGTCGACTACACGGATTCCTGGTTGACAGTTTAAGCAATGTCCGCATACATCAAATCCCCAATTCAACTGAGGAGGCAACAGGACAATTCTCTCCAAACATATGCTTTGTGCCTTCACTTTCAAGACAAATCATTTTTGCTTATTTTTTTATTTTAACTAATTTCCAAGATGTGAAGACCAAGACATTGTGGCCTCTGGTATGGTCGCAGTCTCCTTTCGACTTATAGAAGTGGGTTGACCTCGTTGTCTCAACTT